GGAGTTGAGTTGGACCCAAGCCAGCTCAAGTGGGCCTTATGCCTCAGTTCTGTTTATATCCTTTTTCTGTCTGTACATAATAGTGGTGGTAGTTAGAAGGACATCAATAACTGGAAATATATAAAAAGGTAGTAATACTACTCTTTAGTTCTGATGGTTCCCAGATTTAAATAAAAAAACAGTGGGGACTTAACTATGCTTGTAAAGTAATTTTCATTTTGGAAAGATGTGCCAGATAAGAGGAAAATGTCCAGTGTGCATCACCAGTAGCTGCTATTATCTCATTCTGAGTCCAAGCTTATTATCTTTCACAGAGGAGAAAGCACATGATATGGTAACTGGATACCAAGGCCTGATGGCTCTTTTCCCAAATGTTTGAAATTCATCAAAGTTCCTGAGAATTTTTTTAATGTAATTCCTCAAGAAATGCTACCAATGGGATTCTTATAATCCCTAAATACAGTCCATATTATTTAAATATATCTGAATATTTGGATTAAATCCTTTCTGTCCAAAAGCTGATACCGATTGAGCATTTCCGAATCCACAGGCTGCTCTGAAAGTTGAGCTTCCTCCAACTTCTTTTGTATTCTTTCTGCAAAGGAACTCTGGCTCCTTGAAGACCTAAATAAACTTTCTTCTTCTAAATAAAAAATGAAATTAAGTGCAAGCCAACCTGGCTGTCACTTCTTGACAAAAATAAGCTCCAGGGATAAAGCTTCACTTGCACCCCATTTATCCCTGTATTTTTAAATGTATTTCAAGAGGTTCAGTACTGTGCTTCATGAATGTATTTTTTATGTGTTTTTATTAATTATAGTTATTTGCCATCTTACCTAAGACTTGGTTTTCATCCTGGAACTCTTCCAAAGGGATGTAATGCAAACAAATAGCCAAATGCCCTCACTGAACCCCGTTCTCTTGCAGTCTCCTGTGGTGAAATATTTGGGGTCATCAGGCTGCCACCTTGTGGCACAAACAAATACACGTTTTAGTGGGTGAGGAACTGTAGCATGTCATGCGTAAGGAAGCATTCATTGCTGGGAAGAGTTTGCAAGTGGAAAAAGTGTCTCACCGTATTTCTCGCTTATTTTGCAGAATATTACACACACTGAAAATGCCATTTAAACAACAACAACAGAAGCTTTGGTCACGTGATATAAAAAAGATGTTGAGACTCTGAAAGAGTGCAGAGAGAAAGCAAGATGATTAAGGGGCTGGAAGCTAAAATATATGCGGAATGGTTGAAGGAATTGAGTATGTCTAGTCTTAACAAAGAGAAGGACCACTGGGGACATGATAGTAGTCTTCCAGTATTTGAGGGGCTGACATAGAGAAGAGAGTCAACCTATTCTCCAAAGCAACTTATGAAGGAGAGATTTAGAACTAAGAGGACATTTCCTGACAGCGAGAACAATTAATCAGTGGAATGGCCTGCCTCCAGAAGTTGGGGATGCTCCATCACTGAAGGCTTTTCTGAGACTGGACAACCATTTGCCAGAATGGTCAGCACTAGACTATAATATTTCCAAGGTTCCTTCCAACTCTTCTAATCTATGAAAATTTGATTGTCCTAATACAAATTCCCTTTGAAAGGCTCACCAAGAATTATGTAATTATTATAATTGATTATAACCTACTGGTTTTTATGTTGAGCTGAGAAAAACAGCTCTTTGCTTGACATATACTTCTTTTTTGGCCACTCCAAATTCCTTGTATACTTAACTATCTGGTCAACTATATTGCTTTTCAGTCCCTTTCTCCATTTCTTTCGTGGAATGTTTAATTTAAATTAGTGAATCAATGTCAGAACAGACAGTTCTTCACCTTAATTTTACTTGTACCCTTTAGATTTGGTACATCTGATACCTCATCTTAAGTCTTCTAAAGCAAACAACTTGTAAAAGCAGGAAGCGCCAAGTAGACAGCAAAAGGCTTACATAGGAGGTGGCAGAGTTTCATGAGAGATCTCCCACTGATAACCTAGCACAGGCCCAAACAATTTGTTGTTTTCCAGTTATGTTGTACTGCAACTTCCACAATATCTCTTGCCATTGCCTACCATGCCTGGGACAGAAGAAAGGACCAATCCAAAAAATATGGAAAACCATGAATTTGCTTAGCTTTGAATATGTGAGAACTGTTGTCAGGGGTGGAAACATGCTATTGCCTATTATTTGGCTGCAAACCCATGTGGGTTTATATCCATCCCAGAAAGCATAGCCAATGGCCCCAACCTCATTGTAAAAATTACTGGCAGATCCTTTTTAGCCAGGGTTCACAAGAGATGGCATTAATGCTGAAAAGGGTTGAAATAATGGGAATGTTTCTGGGTGAGGTCCTTCCAGTTTGTCTTAACTCTTTGCTGTCTCCTCAGTCATTAATACAAGGAGCGT